GGTACATAAAATAATTAATCAAGGGTAAAAAATTACGTAATGTTATTTACAACGAAAATAAATGACCTCTATAACGATTGAATTAATTAGCTTATTATCGCTCAATATTTATTCCAAAATGCCATCGTCATATCCATCATGTTAGAACATTAATAGAATCATCACTCGTTGCTACTAAGCGCTACAACATTCAAACAAACTAACAGAAGCATAAATAAACAAACAAAACAAACGAAAAATGAATAAATAACAATAACGAAACAACGAACAATTTAAAAACGAAATGTTTAATAATATCATGTAAGTATTCTTGTGATTGTCATCGTTATAAATATAAATCGTTATAAATATTCCATTTTTTGTTACCAAGTCTTGCAGCAAAATTTCACACAAACAAACAAACAAACAAACAGAGAGCTGCACTACCCTAAAGTAAAAAAGCAGCACACCGAACCTTAAATGCATCGTTAAGTATGTTCTGTCAAATGGAAATTTCGACAAACAAGATGAATGACTAAATATGAATGAATGAATGAATGAATGAATGAACGTGCGCGCGCTCCAACTAACGCAGTGTGGAATATTTAATCATACACTAATTAGTTTATTACATTCAAATGTTAATTTATTAAGTTATTTAGTCGATAATTTTTAATGAGAAGATGCAGGTTTTAAATGATGATTGTTAAGGAACATGTTGTAGTCGTTAACAGATAAATAAAAAAATCATAAGTAAAGTACAAAATGAATCATTCAAGTAAACATAGAATTTTATTTATTTAATTTCAACATAGAAATATCATTAAAGAAAGCGTACGGAATAAAACAGAATCATCCGCCATCATGTATGTGAGCTATCCAGTGAGTGATGACCAAGCGGGCCACGTAACACACTCAGCTAATTTATTGACGTTATTCTGGCAGAAAACAGATCAGAATAAATGTATTTATTCGCTTCACAGATAATTCCAACTGCACTTAATCATCAAAATCTTCTTTTTTCACATCTTTCCAATTACAACACAATATTAAAAAAAATTAATTCGCTCTTCTCTTTGCACGCGTATGTGTGCCTGAGTATTATCCGCCAACAATGCAGGTGTTAGCATTGCATACATGTCTATTAAGCGTAAGAAATTTAAGCGCGTTTGTGCGTGAAAATTATTTTTTCAGCCAGGCAGATGAAAAAAGAGCAGAAATAACGAGAAGCGAACCATCAAAATGACTGATGAACACTGAGCAGTCAGTCAGTCAACAAATAGGTTAGTCCGAAGTGCTACCAGACATAGGTAGTAGTAGGTATTGCATTGCAGAAGTTAATTAAACCATTTTCTTACTTATTAGTACTTGCATAGATGTAGAAACTATTAGTTTACCAATAGAAACTATTAATTTTTTTATATCTATGGTTATTTGCATTGATGAAAAAAAAATAGACGGAAAAATAGTTTTTTGTCAGAAGAATGTGTCTGATGAGCGGCTGCTAATGTACGCGTCATTGTACAAGTGTTAAATTTAAAGATTATTATAAATATGAAATAACATATATGTAATATAAACTTAAACGAAATAAATACTAAACAACTTAAATGAGAAGACAACTATTTAAACACTTGAATAATTAATAATTTACTGTGTGAAACAAACTGCAAATTAAAACGTTTGGCACGTTTACAAAGAAGCAGCGTCTAGCCTACACCGATGTCATGCCATTCACGGCACGTGCCAAACATATAATCAATTAATTGAATAATCAATTGGTTAATTAATTAATTAACTTATTAATTAATTACAATATTAGTCACACATTCACCTACGATAAAATTATTCTTTATTACAATTACAATAACATTATTCACGATTGTAATCAAGTTATTCAGTTGCAGTATCATTCATATTACAACCGTCCTATGGAGTATATATATATATATATATATATATATATATATATATATATATATATATATATATATATATATACATATATATTCATATAAATATATATATATATATGCATAGATATGTATATATATATATATATAACACTACAACATATTACAACATATTATATCAATGTACAACATATTATAACGTTTCAAATAGTATTAACTGTCTCTCAGTTAGCCACGCAAAACTTTTGTGATGCTTGGCACGCATTGAGTCAGTACAGGAACGATGAAAAAGACGTCAGAGTGAAAGCTGCTAGAATTTAACTAAACGATCAATCTAGACAACGCAGTCGACGAAGAAGTATCATCAACGTATAGAAAGTAAACAATCAGTTACGGTGTTTCAAGATTATTAGTTAAAATTAAAAATATAACAACTAACATTGCAATAAATGATGAAGATGCATGCTATTTCACTTTGGTTCTCTCTCTCTCTCTCTCTCTCTTTTTCTCTCTCTCTCTCTCTCTATTATATGTATGAAAAACTAAAAATCGATAACAAGAGCGTATATAGCGTGTTATTAATGTATATGTATGTGAGTATTTATATAATGATTGATCTAAATAACGAGAAGCAGAACAAAAATCCAAAATAATAACCAAATAGACAAAAAAATTAACAGAACAAACAATAATAACAACAACAACGTAACTATATAATAGCATAAACAATCAACAAAACAGAATGAAAACAAGAGTAAACAACGACATTTAAACAATGATATTAATAAAAACATACAAACAAAATTTATGTAATGATCATAACAAAAACTATAATGGCGATAAAAAATGACACCAACTACAATAAAAATAGTTCGAAACAACAACAACATCAACATTGACAATAATAATAATAATGTTAGTAATCAGTAATGATAATTTCCTGACTAGAAATAAATGTGATAGATTGGATGCATGAAGGTTATGTTACGTTGATATGAATGCAACGACATATACAACATACTACATAACATCTTTCATGTCACCTTAGGAAGAATTATTATAACAATACTATTCAGTTGAATTGCTTAGCGATCTCATCCCATAACTACAACTACATTTATATTATATAACAATGATATCTACAACATGGTTAACAATTTAAAAAAAAATTGAACAATAAAACGTAAAAATTCCAGAAACGAGAAAATAATAAATCCCACTTTTGTAAGCACAAAGAGCCTGGAGACTAGTAGCCAATTTATGTGAAGATTCTAAAGTACGCTACACTATCAGTATAAATAAGCCTTATGAGATAATATTCAGTTGTAGGACACACATACCTACTCTCTCTCTCTCTCTCTCTCTCTCTCTCTCTCTCTCTCTCTCTCTCTCTCTCTCTCTCTCTCTCTCACACACACACACACACACACGTTCACTCACACGCGCGTGCACACACACAATGTGAGATTACACACAGGAACTACGTGAATACATTAAATGTTAAACGCCTACGATACATTCATGTGCATTTTGGACATTAGACTGAAAATAAAAGGACATCATTGAAGAAAAAAGTCAGATAAAAATCCATCCATGTAATATAAAAATAATTCTTAACAGAAAGAAAATTAGACTAAAAATGGTAGCAAAAAACTTATTCTAACCTAAAGTTAATAATATTGACAAATAAAATGAAAAAAAAAACAAAATAAAAAATGAAACAAAAATCCAAACAAAAAATGAAACAACAATCCAAACAAAAAATGAAACAACAATCCAAACAAATCAAGCCTATATCAATGACAGGCGCGCACGTGACATTTACATCATGTTACCGTCTTACTATTTATTGTTTTTTGTTAAATCTTCTCTAACAACATTTGGAGATAAACACACTGCTAAATGAAATGTTCAAATAGGTTAACATATGTAAAATGTCTTTGTCATTCATACGTATATATAAGATTTCATTTATTTATACAAAGTATGTACAACACAACAGAGCAACGTCATTAAAATATATGAGATCTACATTGGTGTCTGGTACAAGATCCTCGGGTCTGCATACATGCATCAAATAATATGGTTGCACTGTACTAATTTTCAGTGATTTTTATCAAAGTTGTCCTCTACCAGAGATGCTCCCGATCAGATACTTAATTTACTAAAGAAACCGAGTGAACAACAACAACACCAATGACGAATACCACTTAACTAGTGGCTGCATTGAAATTAAATTACGTTTAATTATGCCATGTCTGCGTGCAACTCAGCACCAACATCAGTCACAACGACGATACGTTCATGAAGCTGCAACATTTTAAACTCATTTCATCGACCATCTGATGATTTAGACGAAAATAATCGACTCAGAGGTCACCATTGAATGACAATGGTCATTCAATAACGATAGCCATCGACCTCAGCATGCTGATAATCATCAACACTCATTCATCACAAATCGTCATCGTCGTCATCATCAAACGAACCGTCATTGCAACTTATCAACCCAAGTCACAATCACCAACACCACCATCACAATCTTCGACAAGATCATTACACCACATCACAGTTTGGTTGGCGAGTTTTCTGCCTTGGCCACACTGATGGAGGATGGCGACTCGATGAGGATCTGCGGCGGGCTGGGCTGGATCAGGTGGTCCTTCTCTTCGTCATCATCCTCTGCTATCTTGAACTTAACTGGACCCTCTTTCTTCGAATTTCTATCGGCAGTAATGTGGGCGGTGATGACAACGACGACGATAATGACAATGATGATGGTGGCGATGATGATAATGATGGTTAAATAGATGAGAATGAAAACGTTGTGGTATGACTGTCATGATGATTTTTGATTGGAAAAAAAGATCAAATTCGTGAATTTCAATTTTAAAATTTCAATTTTTAATCCTCGAAATAGGATTCAGTAATGCTCATGGATCAAGCTATGACGTGTGTCGCTTTCAAATTATTTGTTTTTTAAATGTAAAAATTTTGATGACGATAAAATAATTTAATTTTACTGTTAATTTTTATTGTTAATTTCGTGACATTATTTTTACAATAACTAAAACATAAAATATCTAAAACAAATTGTTTTAAATTGATTTATTTCCGACAAGATGAGATGAAAAAGAAAGGATACCTGGCTTTCGTTTGAGCCTGTTGTTGGAGTAGGTCGACGGGGTCGTCGGAGCTGATGTTCTTCCAGATGGAGGTCTTCGCCATCTCTTCGGAAATGTTGATGTGGTGCGACATGTCCGAGCCACTCTTGTTCATGGGAGGCTTGCGAACTGGATTGTCAATGCCCATCTGATGTTGTAGTGGACATTTAATTAGAGGTAAATATCATCAAATGTGGGGCATGAAAAATCATTTACAGGATCAACGAAAGGGAAACCGCTAAAAAATAAAACAAAAAAATGAGTGTAATTGTACTTCAAAATCTTCATTCAACTCTTCCAATTCCTTCTTCTTTTTGTCCTCCTTCTCTCTCTTGTTAGCCTCGGGCATGATGTCATCCAGCCAGCGCAGTTCGTGCTGAGTGAAGAGGTAGTCAAGTGACTTGCGGATGAAACACATTGCCAGAACCTGGTGGATGGAGGTGGATGTTCATAAGCGAACATGTTTTTACTACGGGAAGAACCAAAAACAAATGGCTATTGATGTTTTCGTTAAAAAATTAGCTTTGTTTCCACAAGTAAAATAACTTCAATATAAAGAATACTAACGATTATGTGATCAAACAAAAAAATTTTTTATTCAAAATTTTACAACTGAAATGTCAATCAAATATTCAATAAACCAAATGAACAAACGAACAAAAACAAACAAACAAAACAAAACAAAACAAATGAACGAACCATGAGTGGGAATACAATGGAGATGATCTTGATTTCCTTGATGATGCAGAGACCAGCGAGACAGAGGAACTGGATGAAGGTGAAGAGGTGGACTCTGTGAATGGGCACATGTCGAAGGAACATGTAATCAGGTTGGTACTTGGCGGGCATGAAGAACACCATCATCCTCTGCACAAACTGTAAACAACAACAACACGTAACAAAATCTCACTTGAAATATTAACAGTCATCATCAGCAAGCAATATTAGCTGTCAGGTTATTGGAAAATATTTATTCAAATTCTTTTAATAATAATAAATGGATGAAGGGAATATACCTGGATGCCCTTAAGCGAAGATATGCCCATGAACAGAAAGACACCATAGAGGACTGACATTGGCAGCAACTAAAGTTCATACAATCAATTCATTTCGAACATTTAAAAGTTCATAAAAATATTTATTGATGCTTACTTGAACAATTACATTTCAAATTAATAAGTATTTTTGAATTAAATGTCTTGAAATGACAAATTCGCCAGAACTCACCACAAGAACCTTTGCCATGAACGCCGACAGACCAACCATGATGAACACGAGGGTGCCGGTCACACGTTGTTCCCTGGTCAGCAGGTCATTACACCAAAATTAATGATTTCTCATATGTCACTTGACAGTTTTACAGTTTTTGAACGAAACTACGGCATATAAAAAAAAACAATGGACACCAATAAAAAATCTAGAATAACGAACGCATTCGATAGGTCATTCAAAGAGGGGGACGTTATACACTTACCTAACCCCGAGGAACTTGGGTCGTTCCCCAGGAGCAGATGACTCCGACTCCCTGGTGAGACTTCTGACGTGGTTGATAGAGAGCACAGTGGCAGCCACGAACCATGGCGTACCGAGAACAGTGCAGATCCCGATTTGGATGGTGATGAGGAACAAATCCAAGTGATAACCACCACCTTTCTGAAGGCACATCATTCATCATCCATTCCATAAGAAATTCAATTATTTAATTTTATTATTATTGAGATGACTTCTTAAAAATCTAAACAACATTTAACAAGTCAAATAGAAATTAACTTGATAAAAAATAATACGCCTAACAGAAAGGTAGCAAAAATGTTTCCCAGATACAACATGCCGATATTCAATGAAGAAGAAATAAGAGAAGAGCTAACACGAAGTTTGTGCTCCTTCCTGTTGATGATTACTGCAGTGATCTGTTGATCCATGAAGATGAGGATGGTGGAGAAGAGGGCAGGCGGGATGCCAGCCAGCACTGTGTACCAGGGGTTGCGACCACTGAATCCATTAATCAGCCATCCTCTGTCGTGACGAGTCGGCTGCATAAAAGATTTGATACTTTATTGTATAATTGTACAATTTTATTCAACTGATATTAAATTGTATAAGTGTACAATTGAAAAACATTAATAAATAGATATTTGATTGTATTATACATATAAAATTGATGAATGTATGGCTAACAGGGACTTTAATTATGATTACAATTTGGAAATTATTGTTTGGTTTAAAAAAAAAACAAATCGCAATATCAGTACAAAAATTAAAAAAATCGTAAACTGACTCTCAGGTTGGCAGGGACTTCCAGTTTGCTGGTATCAAGACCAACCATGAAATCAAAGAAGACCATGACGCAGATGGATGTGAATACAGCAAAGTCACTGATTAACACTCTCACCTTTATTTCAACAGTATTATTATCACCATTTTTTAATTATAAACATTATTGTCGTTGATGTTCTCTCATTCTCTCATTTATAAAGTGTATACATTTATAGTTTTGAAACATGTTGATCGAATCCTATAAATGCAACCAATGAAACGTACCTTGTTCGGGAAAAATCTGGTATTTCTGAAGAACTTGAGGGCCATGGAAAGAGTGAATGTGCCAATGAAGATGATGCATGAGAAGAAGAAGACATTGGGTACGTAGTGGGGCGTATCGCAACCTGTCCCGACGGGAACGCCACCTTTGTTCGTGTTTATTCATCACCCATTCAATTAACATCCGTTCAATGAACAATTTAAAATCATTGAATCAGGAACAAACAATTTACAATTTAACTTGTAGCGTCAAATTCGTTTTCTACTAAAGTATGAAACAATTTTTTTCCATAATAAAGAGCATATTAAAGCGAATAATTATTAGTTTAAGAAGTTTTCATCTGAGAAAGCTCAAAATTTAATTATAAAGGCAAAACAGCTGAAATTTGAATGTCAAAAATTATCTATAAACATAGAAAATTAGACTGAGTGAAAAATTGAAGTACCTAATGACTTGCATTCTGGGGCTGTCAGATCTTTCCAGTAGAAGGTTGTGTTTTTCAAATGGTCGAAACCTTAAAGAATGGAACAGCATCAAAAGTTCAACAAATTTAATTATAAAATTTAATTCTAAATTTAATTTAAATTTAATTTTGAATAAGAAAAGGAAACTGCGCAAGTTATGAATGTAATGAATAAGAATCATCATCATATGCTTCACCATTAAAAAACCTTGTTCTTCCTCCAAATCGAGCATGGAGGGAGTTGTATAGTTAGAAAACAATGGTGACTCTTTTTCAGGTGGTCCGAGATGTTTCGGCAGACACGTGCAGTTATAGTCAAGTGGATCGTTTGGATGCAAGTTGACAGGAAACTTGTGAAGAATTTCAAATTGCTTACTGAACGCTTCATAAATGAAAATAATGGCTATCAACATGGCAAAGCTTTCTTCTGTGAACCTAGTGATGAAGCGCACCAGAGAGCTCAGGTCGAACGCCACCATAATCATGAGGAACACACACATCCACATGCCAATCCAGAAACGAAACTCCAGATAATTCCATTTGCGATCGCTATTTGTTGTAACGTATGAACATGAAGTAATGTAACACTTAACAAACACAAAGCTTTAATAAATAAAAATAATAATAATAAAAATATTAATAATACAATAATAATAAAAAATAACTGTGGACAGATACGAACTTGCAGAAATGGAAGACAATGGTTTCGAAGACCAGCACAGGGCCAGTTGAACCGATAATTGTTAAGGGTTGGCCAGAAAACAAGTGATACGTCACTCCACATATTGCCCCACTCACCAAACTTTCCATCGCAGCCTGACAAACAAGCAGCATGTAAAATACAAATTAAATAAATCTCTGTATAAACTCTAAAACCCAACAAATAGTTTAATAACACAGCAAAAAAGTTATTTATAACATAAACCCTCAAAAATGCAAAAGCCCCTAACTATATTATTATCAGTGGCAGTCCCTAGCAGGCCACCAAAGGTGATGATGGGGGTAAGACTTGCAAAGTACATGAAGAAAAATGCTGCCACGCATTGTATGTGCAGAGCGTCTGTGAAGTCACTGAGGTACCAGGGTGCCTTGCGTTTCACATCATTGACCAGACCGCCAAATATTCTGCGAATGTCATCGGTATTTGTTTTCTTTACAGTAGTCAGAGACTAATTTAAAAGATTATGTCTAGATCTATAATATTTGGAAACTTATTCATTCAAACTCATTGAAACTTTTAGTTCATTTTCATCTTGTTAATTTTTGTAATCATTATCATTCCAGAAATATATTATAAGAGGTTTCATAAACATTTGCAGAAAACAAATTACTCTTTTTCATTTTTTATACAGCAGAGTTAAAACCATGATAATTAAATTATAAACTTTACAATAAATTTTTTGAGTTAAAATTCTTATGCATATCAACAAATCTTTGAGACTTATTCAAATTTTAATTTCTGAAACCTTTTATTTTGCAGGACTTTACAACTTTAACGCGTTATTAGAATGTGTGCAGAATAAAAATAATTTCACATGGCAAACCTTTTAAAATCACAGTTTATAGTACATGTTACTCAGTAGATTGAACGATGCAATAGATTTTAACATTTTGACTCGGCAAATGTTATGAAAAAAAGAACAAAAAAGAATGTAAAATATCAAATGTCATAAATGAATTAAATGAAATGAATGGCGATGACTACAGCTACAAATACTACAACAACAGATCAATGAGATGCCTTTCAACAGCTGACATTGGCATGTACGCAAAAAAAGCTATTTCTGAAAATGTTCTTTTTTTAAAAAAATGATAAGACAGCAACTAATGAAGAACATCAATTTTAAAACTTAAACAGTATTAATAAAAGAACAATAAACAGTACAGAAAGAAAGGCACGGAAATACATTAGCATAAAAACCAATAAGACAAGCAAACAGAAAAAGGAAGAAATGCAACAAACTTTCCAGTTCTGATGAGTGTCTTATCACCATGCTCCTCGGGTTCTGCCTCCATCATCGTCTTGCCGTTTGGAAGCTCTCCATCTGCTGGTGGGGGTCTCTTTCGTTTCTCCTGTAAACAAATCAATCACTTACTGCCATTAAGATAATTTCAACAATTGTTCATGAATGGTAAAGCTACGCACTACTAGAAAGCGATATTATGTAATAATCCTTCTTGATAACAAACAAAACCAGATACAAAATTATTGCAAACTTTGACGAAAGACAGGCATCCGAATATAAACTCTGAACACACACACAAACACACACAAACGCGCATATATTGACATACACCAAACCAAACGCTGTTCATGATGAAAAATAAAATGTAAACAAATTTTTAAGCACGAATTCTCAGGCCAAAACAAACAAAAAATCCACAAATCACAAATATTGATTTATTCAGAAGCCATAATTTTCGTGTCTTTCCTTTTTTCACCCAAAATTAATTAAAGAATAGAAGAAATAATTTATGCTCAAACAATGTCGTACTTACCAGATAGTGATTGAAATAAACAATAAAAAGTAAAACATACACACATCAAAAGACGACATGAATAACAAAATTTATCACCAAACAAACAGGTAACAATCCTTATGTAGCATGTGATTGTTTCGAAAACATCTTCAAACTATTTTAACCAAATATTCTGTAAACAAATAACAATCAATCAATCAATCAATCAATCAATCAATCAATCAATCAATCAATCAATCAATCAATCAATCGATTAATCGATCGATCGATCAATCAATCAATCAATCAATCAATCAATCAATCAATCAATCAATTAATCAATCATTCAATCAACTAGTTACTAAGCCCTCAACAAACACACACACTCAATAAAAATCACGTCAATCACTAATTCAACCATACAATCACAATCACATATATGATTGATCCAGCAACAAACCTGTGACGGTACACTTTTCGGGGGTTCGATGCGGATGGTCGGATCCCACTCACCAGGTGGAAGGACTGTCACACAATCCAGGAACTCATCTATGCCTGCCATCAAGTCCTTGCGGTCGTGAGCTTTGTATGCCACATCGTGGAAGACCTGGTTGGTTGATTGGTGGGTGAATGAGTGGAGGTTGGTTGGCTGGTGGGTGAATGAGTGGAGATTGGTTGATTGGTGGGTGAATGAGTGGAGCTTGGTTGGCTGGTTGAGTAGGTTGGATTTGAGAAATTAGAGGAAAGTTAAGATTCGGAAGTTTAGATTAGTTGATTGGCTGGTTGGTTGAGTTGGGTAGATAGACTGGTTGGTTGGTTAGTTGGCATGTGTGATGATGGTCAGAAAGAATTATGATAAAAATGGCTATCACACAAAAAAATAATACCGTTAGTAACAATGTTAATAATAATAACATAAAAGTAGAATTTGAATATAAACAACGACAGTTAAGGAAGCTATGATATTTCACTCAAGAGAATTCAAAATTTTATAAAACTTTTTTCGTTCATAGGACTTTTATGAATAATGATTCAACAAAGAATGTTTACAATCATAATTGTTTATGAATTATAAATTGTGGGATAATGAATAGATAGCTCAAACGTAAAATTTCGTTTTGCATGCATATGTTTGGGTGTATTATGGTATTAAACGCAATGGACATAACATACAAATACATATACACATCCTAACTAAAAAGAAGCTAACAACAATCTACATTTATAAAATTAATCTACATGTTTCATTGACTTGTGACAAAGACAACGTTTAATTTGACAAAGAAACCAACACACCAGCTAAGAAATATTGAAAGAATGTCGAAACTATGTTGAAACTAGGAAAATAAAACATTGCCAATAAGAAAATAATTTGAAAATGGACAAACATAAAAACAACAACAACCACAACAATAATTACTACAACAACAAAAGTCAATCTAAAAATAAACGACAATAATAGCAATAATAACAATAATAATAAAAACAATAAACATCAATCTCTAAATAAATGTAGCATCCACTGTGAGATATATTTCACTAGCTAAGTGATGATAAAATAAAATAAACAGAGAGAAAATTTCTTTCATATAAAATAAAAGACGCACACACATAGCATGAAGCACTTACTATATAAAGGAAACCAACACGAACAATAAAAACAATAAAAAAATATTTTAATAATAATTAGAAACCAAAAAAACCTTAATATCAGCAGCACGTGGGCAGGTTGCATATAGGTTATAATAACAAAGTTGTAGTGATGCAATAAATAAACACTTGTACGTTATCTGCTACGATATGTCCATGTGTTTTGTACGCAAACAAGTTCAAATGTATGACTGCAATGCTATATTTGTTTGACGGAGGTAAGTATTAATATATATATATATATATATATAAATATAAATATGAAATATAATAAAATAAAATATATATTACTGTTATATTATATTTATTGTTATCATTTTCATTATTATAGCCCTAGATAGCCTTTAATTTTAACCACCCAGCATCGATCCTTTCAAATGCTATCGTGTCACCATCTTCATCATCGTAACAGTATTACCAATAGCGTGAAAATGTAATGCACTTAATATTAGTATATAACTGATCAATGACCATCGCATGATGACCACCACGTGACCAGCCTATGACCAATAAACAAACACCTACCAAACCAACACTAGACAACCGATCAGCCAGGCAAACAAATCAAAACTAATCAGCAAAATGGATGACCTTCAGATGTAAACAAACACATTTTAATCCTATCTAATTCTACTTAGAAATTAGACAGCGGACAATTGGAAATGTTAATCTAGATATTCCATAATATGCGATATTAATACGTATGTGACCTAGTAGAGGGCAGTGAACCATGTAACGGACATAACGGATTAAAAAAAGTTTGCATTGTTTGATGATATGTAGTTGTTTGATTGTCTGTAAATAGGAACAGAATGAGATGTGGTTCCGTACTTTTCCATATAATTTTGTAAACATCAAATATTGCGAAGGGAAATAATAACATTTTTTGCTGCAAACACGATGTCTGATGATGAGGATGATAAGGATGATGTAATGATGAAACTTAATCACATCATATCTACAATTACAACTCCAACAAAATAAAATATACAATCCATATAGAATTGTCTTTATAACATTTAACGGTATAACATTACAGGGCAATGCCAAATCTAATAGGATGCTGTTTACATAAATATATGTTAACATAGATGGTGTATGGATTACCCATGACAACTGACGTTAAAGTACACATGCGATGGATCAGTGTGTGTGTGTGTGTGTGTGTGTGTGCGATGAGGTTGTGGTTGTCGTGAAGGTTTATCGTGTGGTTGATGTTTGTTTATCTGTTGTGAGGGAGGAAATGAAATATTAGCTCAATCAATGACTCGCGTGTGCTTTCTTATTTAAATTTTATTGCCGGTATGAGGCGGTGAGTAAATATTTATCAAATATTGATGGACGGATTGACGAATGAATGAATGAATGAATGAATGAATGAATAAATGAATAAATGAATGAATAAATGAATGAATGAATGAATTAATTAATTAATTAATTAACATATAGAAAGTGCATACATAAGTGAATGAATGTCGACCTGCATGAAAGACTGTATAAGTGGAACGTGGATGGATGAACGGGCAAATGAAATGGATTATTGAAAAGACGAAGAAAAAACAATGGTTACGTTTGGAAAGATCATCGAGGAGATGAATGAATTTAAAATGAGTTGAAGAAAATTTGAATGAATTAAAGGAAGGGTGGATGATGTTGAAAATCAACACAACAGAAAATAAATAAAAGAATTGAACAATGAATGGATGGATGGATGGATGGTAAGATGGATGGATGGACTCATGAATAAATGAGTAGGGATGTACAAGAATAAAAAAGAGTTAAATTATAGATGGAAAAGTATATTATAGAGGAAAAACAAATGGAGTGAATAACAGCCGCAACATAAACAAGCAGCTATAAGACAGATGAATGGAAAAAATTAGGGAGAAAGAAATGAATGCAAACAAATGATGCTTGTGAAGCAAGATTCTCAGCAAGATGTGAATGACTGAATGAGCAGTAAAAGAATTAGGCAGTTAATAAATCTCTCTCAAAATAGTATTTTAAAAAGCAAAACAAAAAAATGTACTACATGAACGATATGATTACTGTTTAACAGAAAAAAAAAACAATGTGGAAAAAGAGATGGTGATGTTTTTATATAAATTCATCTACTTGTTCTACAAACACGCACGCGCGCGCACACACACGCACACAAACACAGTGTGTGTGTGTGTGTATCATATAACCCATTAATGTGCATAACAACTAAAATATCCATTTGAACAAAAGAACATGGGTTGCAAGTAAAATGTGGCTATGATGTTGTTGTTGCATTAGTATGAATGACTATAATTATAATCAAATGATTTATAGAGCAACCAATGCAGAATGCCACGGAAGACCAGATGAAGAATCGTTATTTTAGACTCTAAAGACATCAGATCAGACAAGTTTGGTCGAAAGAACAGTTAAATAAAATTTATAAACTTTACAGCAGAGAATAAGAAACATCTGGATGAGGTTTGAAAATAAATTTCAAATTTGTGCTCGTCTTCAAATTAAACAAAACGTTTAAACAATATAAAAAATTCCTTAAATAGTGAAACATATCAAGCTAACAAATTTCAGAAAATAATTCAAAAACTGTCGAAGGGCAATAGCAACGTTTGTGCAAAACTAAAGTAAAACTGAATTGGACAAAGTAGAAACATTACGTCAGTTTACGCAACGAAGCATACAGAAAATGGATTAGGTGGATGACCTAGAAATATTTTAAACGTATAAATTTTTTATCATAATGATGAACGATCAAAAAATCAAATACGTGAAAAAAAATTGATAGAATCCTTTTTGTAGTTTTACTAAGAAAAAAATGAGTTTTGCAATTATTCCAACGAGTCGTCCTGAACAAATAACGAGAAACAGCATGGAAAATACAACGAATTCTTGCTTTTGAAGCAGTCTATGCAGCATTTATTTAATAGTGAAAACATACATGCAGAGGAAAAAATTTTTAATGAAAAAGAAAAAAAAATTTTTCAATGCAGTGGTGCACAAAATGATAGTTTATATTTTATTTTAAAAAAATGTTTTATCAATTTAAATAAAATATGTTTTTAACAAAGACAAAAATGCTAGTTGCATTTAAAAAGAACAAACAAGAGCACGCAAGTACAATTTTTTTTAAATCATGTTGTTTTAAAAAGAAGATGAATATGTGATGTATTCAGATTTTTCTTAAGTCAATTTAAAAAACGTAATTCATTCTTACTAACTCCAAGATTCTTAAGTCCAAATAAGATACAGAAAGCCTAAATAAAGGTTGGATAATGACAGAGCAAGAGTCATAAATTGTTTGGAAGGTCATTAAGGTGAGACACTCATAAATCCTGGCAAGAGTTTATTAATGCATTAATGATTATATGAGCAGACTCTTACTATAAAAACCTGAACAATCAACTATAAAGGAAAGGAGTAGTCTCCATTAAATAAAATAAACATATAAATAAAGACTAACAACAAATGAATTACTTTCTAATGCAATTTATAAGCAGTATAAGTTATATCAAATACTATAATAAACACATACAATATATATGGAACACACACACGCACACACACACGCACACACACGGACATCCTAGAATTCGCAGAATTCAGATAACAAAACAAACATAAGTTGGCAGTGAAAAGTGCACAATATATGTACACAGATCATCAAAAATAAGACTTGCTTGCAAACCTATCAAGTATAATGACTATGTAGAAGTATTTTTAAGATGAAGTCAACAATTTTTTAAATATTCCTGATGTTTTTAACCAAACAATGGAAATTAGAGAAAGCACAATAAATTATTATATGGAAACAAAATTTATTAGAAATAAAAAAATTATTTTATTAAATTATTAATTGAAAAAGTACAAAATAATTTCTACTTTGGATCAGGTTATGAGAGAACACAAACCTCATCAGACATTAGCGTGGCGATGGACCTTCCAATCTCCCTGTACTTCTCCTGATGTCCTTGCGGTCCCAGCAGGAAGAAAATGAACCTGGTAGCAGCGTGGAGTTATTGAAATGTAATGAAGGAATGGAACCTGATAGCTAAGTGAAATTAATGAAATATAACGAAGAAATGAATATAAATAACTGATTAGATCAGACGGATAAATAACTATATATAAAGAATAATTATTTACGCTATTAAATGGTTATTATCAATAGCCAACGTAACTCAAATTTGAACCGCTTAATTCTAAAAAAATTCTCTTCATATAAAGCCCTAAAATAGCATTTAAAAAAATCATAAATAATTATTTAAAAGCAATTTAATAAACGGAAAAGCAATGACATGAAAACAAGAGACAGCTAAAAAATAAAAGAAAACAAATCACCTAGATGGGACAGCAACTTCGGTGATTTCACCTAGTATGACTGCCTTCTGGAGGCGAGCGAATGCGAAGAACGGTGTGGAAAGGAAATCCACTTCACCAACCATTATGTTGGCTGCCTCAGCTCCCACAGGGATCTTCTTGAAGAAGTGCTGGTTGAACTGTTTGTTGAGTTGTTATTTCTGTATTTGTTGTTTGGCGTTTCTGTATTTGTTGTTGTGTTTGTTGTTGTTGTTATGTTCATTTAATTTGGAAAATATCAGTCGTAAAAATACTTGCAAGTTTTGTTTTTCAGTGATGAGTTTTAAACAAAGTGTCAAAAAAAGCAGCAAAAAAGTTTTACATAGACTCTAACATTATTCATTCAGAATAGATTAATGCCTGTGGTAGTAACGTAAATATGGATCACATTATAAAAATACAGATCTTTTAAATGTTGTCAGACCATTGTCGCTACGTTTAAATGTAAAAGTTTTTATGGATTTAAGAAAAACATTTTTAATTGCACAAACATGATTCAAAACTTTAAAAATGTACTTATAAATAAATAATTTTAAAACTGTTTTCTAAAAAAATGAAAAAATGGAGCAGAACATTGAAATGTATTAATCATTCCTCCAAAACTGTCAACAGATTTCTCCATAGTTGTTTTCAACAAAGATTTAAAATAACATGAATAAACAATCGCATGTAAATAATAAAAAAAATAATAATACCGGAACAAACTAGATTCAAACACAATTACACAATTAAATAAGCTCAACGATTTTAAAATGAAAAGTAATAAACAAATATTGTTAATAATATTAATTTTGTTAAATTAACACGTAAAATAAAATAAATTAGCAATGCACGAAATGAAACGCTACCAGAGTAACAACAGAAAAAAATTGATTAATAAACTAACAAAAAATTTGAAAATAAATTATAAAAAACCTGTGATAACTCAACTTATTTTTTAACCAGTTATGTTAAAATCAGCATGAACCAATGTCATCCCCCATGGTAGTTGAGAAAACATAAATGGATACATTTCAAAAATGTTGAAAATAAGCTTTTGCATTAATGATGATGAGTCGACATTGAAAAACCGTAACTGAAGAAATAAAAAAAAAAGAAGAAAAATTAAAACGTAAAAAATTAATTTTCAAGCTTGAAAAATTAAAAACTCCACTGCTAGGAATTAATTGTTAGGAATCTTCAATTAAAAAGTCACAAGACGACATCAATTAGACTCATCTAGTGATATATTTCTATTATTAAAAAGTGTTAGCATCCAGTGTTAGCAGAAACGACAATAATCATAATGAATGTTAACACTGACAACATCTTAATAATAACAAAACCTTGTTCGCTAAGACCTCTTCGTGAAAATGAACACAATGCTAATGTGAGAATTCATTAATAAAAAAAAGGAATATATTAAAAGTTATAAATTTTTTTTGATAAGTAGAATTTTGAGCGAATAAAACAAAAACAACCATTCTCCATCAGGCAGATACTATTGGCAATCATATAAAGTTAAACGTGTATTAAAATTCAATCTCTGTATACGTCGTTTAAGATAAAATTTGTTCCATTTACAATTTAAAATCTACAAAATAAGCTCACTGGAATCTTTTTATGTCGAAATTATTTTTCGTTTTGAGCAAAACTTTTGAAAAAATAGTAAAATGCTTATATGGATTTGATACTATATCATATCGTGTATCTCAAACCAGTATCACTCAATATTTAGGCCAAGACAGCAGTGGCTACGTGTGCACTAAATTATTTGCTAAATTAAATGAGTTTTAACACATATATAATAGCAAGCTACCTATTTATATGAAACATATATTCATTCAAGTATACAGTAATGAATAATATTGGGGCTCCAATTAATAAAAAGAATCCAAAACAATGAACTAATAAACACTTTTAATAAAAGTAGGAATAATTTAACTCGTAAAAAATCGTTAACCTAAATTCTGAAAAACAACTAAGCATGGAAGAAATGACACAAAACTGTAAATAATCTCATTACATTCTAGTTTGGGACATTATTTCAACTTCAAAATAATTTGGGATATTTGTTTTTTCTGTATTCATAAACTTTAGCTAAGACACTAACAAAAGTATTTACCTATGGTCTTTGCACTATTTAGTTATTTTTCGGTTACTGAGCTATATGGTTCAAACGCAAATTCATAATTAATACATGACAACTGTTTTTTGTGCTTCGTACATTTGTGAAAATGGTTTTTGAAGACAACCCACATATGAGACGCCATATAAAAATCTAGTGTGTTTGTTGAATATAGATAGTTTCAGACTTAATGATAATAATAAAACATTCAAGAGGTCCTATCAATTCATTGTCACCTCCACAAGTGCTTGCACGAATGAGATAAAATAAAGAAAAAAATAACACCAGATGTTCCAGTGAAGTAGAAGATTAAATGTTTCAAGTGATCGTTCATATCAAGTGTTAGAGTCCGGCAGAGATCTTATCATGCTTTAGTTAAAACTTGAACGTATGTTTCTAAAACATATCAAATTATTATGAGTCCCAGGCATGCATGCACCTTGCGTAGACTCAGCATTAAGCATGCATTCAAAATGCTTTTAAAACATCTATTTGACAGTTTGCTAACTACACAATTATCACTATGATTAATAAAAAGTTTCAATAAATATGAGTGATTATTAAAAAAATATTTATTTAACATTCTCAAAGTACACTACGTCATGCTGTTCCATTCCATTCATCTCCTCTTCATTAGATATTCAAATGAATTCTAATTAGTTTCTATACAGACATTTCTCCCAGAAACAATGATACAATTAGTTAACTACAAAATCCCAAATGACTGATAACTTTTTCTTTGTAACATAACAAAATCATAAAAAAAACTGACAGTAAAAAAACAACAAAAACAACACTAATAACAGACACCATTAAAAACACCACTACCAACAACAACAACAACACCAACAACAACAACAATGAGATGATTGATAACAGCATTGAAACAAAGAAACAACAACAGTGACGACGGCAACAACAATACAAGATGAATGTCATGTAGCCTACCTTATGGCCACTGTTAACATCATCGCCAGGAGCAATGAGATCCGAAGCTGATCCCAATGTCTTTGGAGAGGTCACTGCATGAGGAATACTTGAGGGATTCGTGTTGCCTAGCAACCGGATATTAAAAATGAATTTATATATTAATTACGCATAACTATAAATTATTTATTTGTTTTTAATTTTTGTTTTACTAGCTTTTCAGCAGTTCAACTAGTAAAATAGTGGGAATGATAAATATAGTCCAAAGGTTAAAAATTAATAAAATTAATCTACTTACAAAATATAAGCCAACCAGTGTGTTTAAAAATATTAATATAACTCATGTGCAATGTATAATATGTGATTGAATGAAGTTATCAAACTAGAAGGATGTTTATATACAATGACTTGATAACAAAAGGAGGATGACAGCGTAACATGGCGAACCAAAGAAACTTAACTAGCAGAATTGAAAATAACTTGATCACAGGGTTCAATATGCTAATGTAAACAAAATATTTCAAACTATTTTTAAACATAATCAACTTGAATAATTTCAAACTTAACTATCGAAACTATCAATGGTTATAAAAAAAATCAATTTGAACAAGAACCAGGTGTGAAGAGATGCAGGCAGGTGGATATAAAAACGTCTTATTAAATATCATAGACAAAATAGATGTTTATTTCATAAAGCATAAATTCGAAGTTAGAGATATGCAAAGAATTTATGATGCACTAAACACACGGTCTATATGAGAAACCCTATAAAAAACGCTAACCCGAATCAAAACATCACAACAAAATTACGTTTGGTTAGTGAATTTTTAAAATGTTACCAAGTAAGCTATGTACAACTCAAATAAAGAAGCACACTGTCACAAAAATTTATAAAGTTAGGCTATGTACATAGAGATTAAATAACACAAACACCAGTCAACAAATCTTTCTGGTATAGAATAAAAAAAGATATAAGATCACCTTATTCTTCAAACTATATAATTCATTTTATTTTGCAATTGCGAAAATAGGTATCGGTTAATATTAGTAGTGGGAGAATTAGAAAATGAAAATAAATTAATATGAAAAATAAAAAGAGCAAATGAAAATGAAATGAGCAAACTGGTGAGTTATATCGTTACTCTTACGTCTCACCGAGGTTATCACCTAATTGTTTTTCTGCCGCCGTGTTCAGCTGGGCATGACTTTCTGTGATGAATGATTCAAAAAACTTACATTAGTGATACAATTTAAAATAAGATAAGGCAACATAAAGTTAAATTGTTACTAGTCCAAGTTAAATTATTTGGTGAAAGCAAATGCTAACGATGAAAAAAACAAAAAACACCAAAGATCTCTTCCTGAAAACACAAGCATGAATGTGTCTCCATGGTGCAATGAAAAAATAATTTATTGGAGGTAGATTCTTGCTCTTTTCATTATTTTGAGATTAGAAAGATTCTGAGGAAATAGAAGTGGGTACATGTGAATAATAAAGAAGATAGATGAACAGATAAATGAACGGACTCAAAACAAATAGATAGATAGATAGATAGATAGATAGATAGATAGATAGATAGATAGATAAATAGATAGATAGATAGATAGATAGATAGATAGATAGACAGACAGACAGACAGACAGACAGATAGAGAGAGAGAGAGAGAAAGAGGGATGGATGGATGGATGGATGGATGGATGGATGGATGGATGGATGGATGGATGGATGGATGGATGGATGGACGGATGGATGGATGAATGGATGGATGAATGGATGGATGGATGACTGGACAGATAGACAAACAGACAAAACTAATAATGAATATTTTAATAATTAATTCACGTTCATCAAATTCACACACTTAACAAATTAAGCCCTGTACATACTTTTACAAATTAATAGGCTAATGATCAAGTCATGGGTCAAATAAATATGATGAAGTGTCTATCAGTCCTTGAAATAACAAACAAGGTACACCGATCTAATTAAATATGACTCATCATGTACATAATTTGCCAGCAAGTGTAAGTGCATACTTCTCAGAGAATATTAATTATAAATAATTTGATATTTGAAGCAACAAATCTTAAACAAATTAATAAACTATCAGCAGATATAAAAAGATTCAACATTTTTCAAACTAAGCGATGAATTTTGAAGTCATAATAAAAAAATATAAAAAAAATATAAAATCTTGAAAAATTAATCAAATTAAGAAATTCTTTGACCATTGGAAAACAATTATTAGCACCAAATTAACTCCAACTCCATCATCATCTACACAAAATAATTACAAAACCCCACCTTTTCTATCAAAATTCTTGGAGGACATTTTTCTACCAATGTCAGCAAGGGACCTGATGACTGGGAGTCCGAGGCCACCCTCTTTCTTGGTGTGTTGGTGCCTGTGCTTCAGAGACATCACCTCCTGCAACTTCTCACGCTGATCTATGCTGATCTGTCCTGATGCCACTGCTCCATCCAGCATCAAATCTGATTAGCAGATTTTTAAGTTCTATCTGAATTTCATTACTATTTTGCAATGATGGCATTGAAATGTTCTGAATTACACTGGAATATATCAATTAATTCAAAAAACATGTTTTGCTCAGACAAGTTATGATGCTTCATAACAAATAAGAAATGTTTCAGATATTAAACTAGCAAACAAAAAATTTTTAATAAAGTCAACTGTAGTGAAAACGGTAAAAACTTCTGTATAAACCTAGTTGATCTAAAATATTCACATAAAATCACCATGTGAAATTCTCTCAGGCACAAACACAACAAGCCTGCAATCAATCAAACAGGTTACTATATATAATTAGCCTTAACAATAATTGTTCATTATCCAATCCTCTACATTTCTTCAAACCTCTCTCTCACAATCCTTCCACAATGTCATCTTTAAAATAAACCCATAACATACCTAACAACAATAACACTATCAATATAAAGAGCAACATAATACAACATAACACGCAGCCATACAACAGAAGAACGATCACAATGTAATACAAAGATAACAAATGAACACCAACTAACCGGTGATCTGTGAAATGCTGGAGGCATCCATATCAAGCAAAACAGTTCCCACCCTGAGACCCTGCCTCAGTTCGAACAGGGAGTGCAGGGAGAGTGTGGCCACGTGGGGTTTGGACCATCTGTCTCCACCCTCTTCCACATCCTCTTCAAATTTTATCCATCTACAAATGTGAATTGAATTGAGTGTTATTCTGCTCTCGATGAATTGGATTAAATAAAATAAATTTAAAACAAGAGAATTTTAATAGAAATAAAGGAGCTAAGTTTTATTGAGTTTTATTATGGAAAGATTTTTGAATAAAAAAAAGTAAATAATTCTTTCAAAGAAAATGTTCACATAATCTGCAGCATTCTGTTTTATTGCAAATAACAGATAGACCAGAGGCATATCATTATAATAAATGAACCTTTTTCAACACAAAAACTAAATATACAGAAATAAATTTTTATGTTCAATTTTACTCAATAGCAGCATTTGACTACAAAGCAGCAAAAAACACAGGGTAAACGAACAACTTGCATAAATTTTTTTAATAGCTTGCCAGAGAAAGGTCAAATTAAAGGAAAAAAATATAAAGTAAAAATAAATTATTAACTGACATAAAAAATATTAAGATCTAACAAAAATTGAAGTACTTGCAAATAGATTTCTGTAATAATTATTGCTACCTAGATAAACATTCAAGGATGACAGTCTGAGCAAGCATTACAGAAGAAATGAAAAAAAGATATAAAAATAAGTGCTTAGGTTTTATTTATTTAGAATAATGTGTGTTGATTCAAGCAATTGCATTAAATGCATTGCAAGCAAAGAGAACATTAATTACATAAATTCATTTCACTCTAAAGAAACGGTACCAGAAGCAGCAAACTTTTCATAAGACCATCTATAAAATGATTGAAAAGCTACAATAAAATGGGAATAATAAAGTCATAATAATGTACATACAGACATATATTGTACACACACTTATAAATAATGTACATACACATATAATATGATATATATTGTGCACGATAACCACATATATTAATAATGATAATGATGATATATAATGATGTTGGAAGAATTATCATCAACACCATCGTTATCAGCTCTTCTAAAAACCTTGATCAAGCTTAATGCAAGGCATAACATTTAAAAGCATTGAATTATTTAAATAAGGGTTGTAGCTAAGAATTTATATCAGTTATTATTAAAAATTCAAAAACATCAAAAGCATATGAAAACAACAACAAAAATTTCAAGATACATCTAATTTACTTAGAATGATAAAGAAAAGAATAGAAACAAGCCAAAAAAATATGTTACAAATACATAATTTTTCATATGACTGACAACATGCAAGCCAACATATGAATATAACTCATAGACTCACTCACTCATAGACGGGTATGCCAACCACGCATACACACACACACGCACATACACACACAAACATACACACAAATACACCTCCAGCATATAATCAGTTACAAAGCATTTGTATTCAGCATCACCTTGAAAACGTCAATAAAAAAATAAATACAAACATAGTAGAACATAATGCTTTTATTACAGTGTTAATTAATAATAAAGACAGTTCATCCACTTTCAATTTGATCCATTTCTCATTTATCATTCCATTTGCTGGTTTATATACTAATTTATCATCCTTCCATTTATTTGATTGATTACTAAATGCCCTAGTCGCATTCAAATGTGCACTGCCTTGGTTCAAAAGCAAATATAAAACTAAAGTGTTGTTTCGTTCGTTTTTAGCTGACAGAACATGGAAAATAGAGAAAGAAAATGTAGACATACTGTTTATGTATGAAGGTGTTTCTTTGATCTTCAATTCAAACAATTGAATGTTTTCTAACAAATTCATTCTAATGTTTACAAACAGGCTTAAGCCTGCAGCACCAGAATGAAGGTGAATAACTCTTTAAAATTAATATTTGAACAGTAGACATATAACACAATATTAATCTCTTAATCTCTCAACACATTTCTCTTCTGATTTTTTGATTACAAAATGAATAAAATGGAAATATTAATACAGTATACAGCATAAGAAAACAGTTTAGTGTCATTTTTAAGTAAAAGGTAGAAATATCAATGCAGTAAAAATTTGGCTTGCAATAAAAAAAGTACTTAATGTAGCTCAGTAAAACATAATGTACTTTGGAGAACACAGCTGGCGTTGATGTAACTTATGTCCAGTTGGTTGAGCAAATAAATATTGATACAATACCTATACACATACATATGCTTTCATTCCCATTATGCAGACAACAAACAATCCCACAAACACTCACACCAAACACACACACACACCACACATGTTTCCATAGTTATTATTATATAAATGTCAAGAACTGATCAGACAGAAATGTGTGAATAGACAAACATTTTCACAAAAGTAACTATGTAAGCACAACAAAGGCATGCAAGTTCAAGCAAGAATGATCACATGATTCTGGATGTGAGTTCAAAATTAGTCACCAATCCATTTATTAGGCAAACAAAAAAAAAACTAAAATATTGTTGGAAAAATGTAAAACAGTTACAAACAATCTTCAGTTTGGCCAATAAATCAAATAGAACAAACATCATAAAATATTGAAATTATTATTTTTATTTAAGTACAAGACAGTCACTAAGACATCATAAACTGGTCAATAATAATACACCAAAAATTTATTTCAGAAAACAATCCATACAAATAAATAGTGGTTGCAGGGCAGAAACAAATGAAATGCAAACACACAAAGAATTAACACATCAATGTACTACAGAAGTACAAACCTTGCAGTTTCCCTCCATTCAACATCTCCATCTTCACCTACACTCCTCAGTTCGTCCATCTCGCAGAAGAGTTCATGCGTCTGTCTGTCCTCATCCTCCTCATCCTCCTCTCGACCCAAGATAGTGACCACTCTCTGTGATGGAGGAGTGCCTGGTGGGTAGTAGTTCAATAGCATTTACATTCTGTTCTATCCATGCTACTTATTATAAATTAATTTTTTAAAAAGAATAAATTCAAAAGAAATTGACATGAACTGGAATTTAACTTTTAATGTCAGAAAATAAAAATGAATTGTCCATTGAACAACTGAAACAAAAAATAAATCTTTTCTTTGCCACAAAAAGCAAAAAGATAATAAAAAATGCACAAAATTAAATGTCACAAATTTACAAGTATAAAGAAGTCCAACAAAGTTGGATGCATTAAAATTGATAAGCAAATCATGAACAACTAATAAAACAAATGTGGGGGCCTATTACTCATCCTACCATCTGAATTTCATTTGCATGTGCTAATAATATGAATTTCTTTCATGCTGCTTGGCAGTGAATGTGTTATCCTATTAGCAAATGTAATTTAAATTTTATTTGGCAGATGACCAAGCTGAAACATGTGACACATGAATCATCATATTATGTGACACATATTATGTATGTAACAAAGATTTTACATATAAAAAGCTGAATATATTATCAACACTTCCAGTTTAACAGTTCCTTACTTTCATTTCAAATAACTCAAAGTACTCCATACAGAGTATAATCTGCCTCAAAGAAAATATGGCAAAAAAAATTTACAAAACAGCAAAATCATAGTTTGGTACTTCACAACCTGAAATAACACCCACATAGAAATTTATGTTACATTAAAAACAATTTAATAAACAGTGATTCTGCATGGTTAAATGTTTAAGAAATTCAGTACATGTTACACTGTTTTTTGACCCATCCATTAGTTGCAGCAATGAAAAAACAGCCATCAACATGTAAATTATACCTTACAATAAATCAAGCATGTAAAAATAAATTAATGCAAAAATATTTAATTATAAAAAAATAAATTATACGTATTCCCATCAAAATTATACAGTTGCGAGAACAGGTATGCAGAAGTATACAACTCCTGAAACAGCATCATTAAAATACATGCTTCATCATCATAGCAGCCTTATCTTCCTTGAGATAATTTGAAGAGTGTATTCCTAAAAACTGTATCTATAAATATGTTCAACATTTTGGTAACATAGTTTTCATCACAAACTATTCATCATACAAAATTCCAACCCCCTCAACAAATTTTATTCAACCTTAACTTTTATGGTCAAGCATGATCCAAAATTAGTCTCAGGATATATTTTCACAAAGCTCTAAATTCTATTTTTAGTTCAAGGTGTTGGCAAAAATTTTGAATATAATAGAATAATACATTAAACATGATGCAGAGGAACCACTTAATAGATATAAAGAATAGCTTGAAATAAGTTGAAGCGGTTCTAATCTATTACAATCCATTGCACACTTGAGAGCAATTCATCATCATTAACATTATCAAGCATGGAAGTTTGATGACTGTAGTGGTCAGACAAATCCTTTTAACTCTTCAAATTATACTTGAAATAATAAAAAATAAATTTACCAAAAAAAACACAGAAAATTATACTAAAGTAAAATTAAAGCAAAAACAAAAGCGAAAAAATAAACTTTACATTCAGAGAGTGTAATTAATTTTGCTTCAAATCATTACAAATATCGAAAAAATGATTAATGTTAGAACTGTGCAAAAATAGCACAATGTTCATTGTTGAGCTGCACATCAACATTGAAATTTTACCATAATACTTCAATTATTTAATTATTATAATTCAGATAGTCTCATAGCATTGTTTAAAAAATCAAAACTCTACATATAAAATTTTACATAATTCTATGAAAAGTTTTGAAAAAACCAATACAAAATTTACTTTTAAGGTTTAGTTCTTTATTAACTTTGGATTAAAATGTTCATGATGATCAGATAAATAAACTCAAAAATGTAATATCAAAATTTAAGTTATGTTTATAGATCACTAATTATAGTTAAAGATAATATTCACCTTATCAACACAACACAAGAGGCAGATGAAAATTATTAAACAAACCGTTCAAAAAACCAATAAATAATGTATCAATTAAATAAAAAAAAATTGATTAATAATGTTATTGCTAATGTTAACCAACTTGGTCTTGTGCCAGTGGCAGTTGTTTCATCAGCTGGTCGCTGTCTCAATCTCTTGCGTCTCTTCCTCTTTTTATGATCTTCTGGGTACCTCAGACCAATGTACATAGCTTGCTGTTCCTCCCACTGTTGCTTTTGATCAGCTATTTTTTGAGATTTAATAAAAGCTAATTCTATAATTTTACAGATTGTTTAAAAAATTTAAAACAAACTTGAATTCAATTTTTAATTGATAAGACTGACTATACTATACACTACAAATAAACTATCACAAATTATAAGAAAACGAGTTTTTATTTTTACTTGTTTTTTTAATTTTTAGTATCAAATTCAGTAGATTGTTTAGAGACTTTAGTTTAGTTAGTTAGTTAGACTGTTAGAGAGATATGATTAGTGTGTTTTATGATCATTTTTTAATAAATTTCTTTGAATATTTTAAAAACAAACTTGATTCAAGATTCCATCCAAAATTAGCTCTGTGATCTTTCACCGGCCGATCCATTTCTATGCTCACTGTTTTGCCGGCGTTTGCTTTCGCCATTGATTGTTCCTCACGCTTTTATTCAGACAAGAATAAAATAAGAAGACGCTTTTTTTAAATCAATTTCCTAATTACAAAAGATAAAATTTCCCAACGAGTTCCAAAGAATTAATTACCAAATAAAAGAGCTTATAAATATCATAACTTATTTTGAAAACGTATATTTTTATATGTTCTAACGATCGATTTTAAGTTTTATACTCTATCTATCTATCTATCTATCTATATAATCACGCAATCAACAATTCGAATCTGTGAAAGTCTGTTTAAAAGTGAAAGCACGTAATAACTGAATAATCCAAAATACGAGGTCAGGTCAGGTCAGGTCTAGTAAGGTCGAGCCAAATCTTCTCGGTTCATCTGAAAGTTAAATTTTTAACCAAACTCAATAATTGATTTTTATCACTGTAATGATTTATAACGTTTAATATTTAAACAATGGATGATAAGTCATGAAAAATGTAACCTCATTCTTATCAAAATTCGCAATGTCAAGGAGTGTATATTGTAGTATATATATATATTTATATATATATATATATATATATATATATATATATATATATATATATGACAAATACATGTACACACACTTTTATTGGTTATCAGCTATCATCACATTCCATGTATTCTTGCCATAATATAATTATTAAATATTATTAATGCATGATTATTTGAGCTACATTGCGGTTGTGCTATTGGTTGGCGAGGTAAATAGGCACCTAAACTAGTATTAACATTGTGATTCATTCAAGTGTTGTTGCTTACAACACAGTGTCACGGGATGTAGATGAATGAATGAATAGTCTACTAAACTTAAATTTACTTTGATGGGTGACCTACTCAGCGTAGGAAATAAAAAATATAATTACTGCTACACCGTCAAGCAGTGGAGTTTGAAATATACGTCATACGTTCATGTTAGTGGATTAGGTGTAATGTATCTTTAATCATTTCGCACAATTGTACTGTCAGTGCTGAAAATGTTTTACTGAATAGCGTCAGTTGAGTTAAGGTAACGTAAACATATACCCTATAAACTATTCTTATCTTAATCATCTTGTGCTTGCTTCTAATCTTTTTTTATCAATACCTAAATAAAATTTATTCAATATTTTATAACTTAATTTATGAGTTAAATTTTTCGTTTTATAAACATATTATGGTCATTTCGAAACCTGCGTAAAAGTCGTTCTGACGAATAACTAACTATTGGAAAAATAAAAGTATATAATTGCATCTATTAGTACCTACATGTGTAATATATCATTCAATCAAATGTAAAGCAAAACAATTTGTTACCTCACAAAAAAGGGTCATGTGTTTCCTGTCCTCATCGTCATCCATAATTTTTTAAAGAACGTACTTAACAAAACGACAACTTATATAAATATTAATTAACCATTATAGTACGAAAAAATGTAATTCATATAGCTATAAAGCGGTATCCACGTTTATAAAATGTTATATTACATTGTAAAGTAAACGAATGTCATAACAAAACCATATGGGTTCAGTCAAGCTGATATATATGTACTTAAGTAGAATAACCTAAAATGTATGACTTAATATGCCTAAAATTATATAAATTTAAAACTTTAGAGAAGTGACAGATATATGAAATTTTAAAGATGAAAATTATGCTCAAATATAGCAGGCGAACATAACCAAATTGAGAAATCCTGGAAGAGAATTTCCAATGCGCTAAGATGTTCTGCATGCGGGTTTATATAATGATTCACATGATAGGGCTACATGTAGCTTATTACATCAAACGTGTGTTTAACTGTTTATGTATATGCAAACACACATTTGATACATACATTGCGTAAAAATGATTTTTCCTTTAAATGTTTTTAATGTTTGTTTTATCAAAGAACAGAAAATAAGCGAAATCATTTTTAACGTTTTTGAGAATTTGTTTCTAAGAAATGAATCTCGTCACATCTTTATTCACAATAAAGTAAAGTTATTAGACACTGGATTACAGTTAGATGAGCGTGTAGACATTTAATCGTCTGTTTAACTAAGCCGCCAGGTTTAATAATATCCATTGAAATTTCAGAATGCGCTTGACTGTAACTGCTCAAAAATTGCAGCGCCATAAATTCAGTGATCTGCAAACCAAGCCACTTTAAATATAATGAATGCGAGTGATTATATTCATTTTTGCATGAATTATTTTTTTGCGTCCATTTATGGACAAACATAAAATTACAGCTCAGTTAAGTGTATTTATCATCTCATATATAATTTGTTTGCATGTGATGCGTTAGACAAATACCTATTGATAACTTGAACGAAATTGTTGTTTGCACAAATTGCCCGGCATAATTTTAGTTTGATGCAGATGAATTGTTGCGCGATGAAAAAGTTAATGCCGCTATTATGTAAGAAATAAAACCCAAAGCTGTTCTTCT